CTTTATTTTATTATATTATTATAATTTTTAATCAAAAATACTAAAAAATATTTTATTTAATAATTAGACCAAAAATCTTTATTTTTACTTTATCTCTACTTTATTTCATAAATAATAAAAACCCTAAAAATATTTTTCTTTCTTAAATAAATTAAATTAATTCAGACTTAGTTTTTATTTTAATTTTATTTGTCTAATTAAATTAACTTAGAATTTAGGAATTTAACTAATTAACTTCTTTTGTTTATTTAATTAATTAGGTTAAACCTTTCATAAAAATCATAAAAACAATTCTCTTTTCAATTTCTTTTCTCTTTACATTTCTTGTACATTTTATTCTTGCACATTATGATTTAATTGTCAAATCCTTGTAATAGTTAGGGTTTATTTTACTTGTCATCCCCATCCCCAAAAATGATATAATAACGTAGAACTTTTAATTTTTGCAATTTATCGCTTTCGATATTATTGCTAGTAATTATGGTTTGTGTGACAAGACTTAAAATCAATACTAGACAACCCTAATTCAAGACAAATGTATGAAAACAATACACTTTGCACACTTAAACCTCTAGGGTTAACCCACACTTGTTTCCTTAGATAAAAAACAACCATGTCCCTCGAACGTGGGATACTTTAGCAAACACCCTCGATTACAAGATCGTAGTCCCTTCGATGTTGCCTTTGGTAAAACGATCTTAGACCTTTACAACAAATTTCTAAGGTATCCTACAAATATTGCCTTCTATGACTGTACGATGACTCACGCCTGTCACTTCACATCCAATGATAAGGTTTCTTACCAACTAATGGTAAGATAACACTATCTAAAGGAGGAGGAAGAGAACAAATACTTTCTTTTGAGTAGGTAGAACGTTCGTAGTTGCTTGCTCACAAACATTTCAAAACAAAATGTCTTTCAAACACATCAACACTTTCATGAAATATTTTCAAAAGTCGACACTTTGTATACATTCTTATAGAGACGAGAATCATTACAAAGTTCTCCTAAACTAATGCACTTTTCAAAAATACTTTCAAACAATTCACAAGCACATTTACAAAGCATTTCAAAGTGAGCTAGAAACTAAGAGCCTGTAGATAACTACAGATGAAAAGGGTGCTAACACCTTCCCTTTTGATAACCTACCCCCCGAACTCAAGAAAATTCTCAAAAGGTATTTCTTGTTCTTTTCACTCTTTCCTTTATTGGATAAAAGAAAAGTCGCCGGCGACTCTTACTATCCACAATAATTGCGATCAAACAAAAAACACCCAAGTCAGTTCTCCCACCGTATTACAATAACCTTGGTAGAATTTAAAGGGTTCTTTGCCTATTGTGATAAGGTGAAGAGTCTAACTAAGAGGTCTATCATTGCGGTTATTTGGTTAGCAATGGCTTGGAACCTTTAGTTGAAGTGTAATTCGATCATTTTTAAGGGTGAGGCGTTTAGCTTTGATGAGTGTACGTCGGAGATAATAGTTAATGCTTGGAAGTGGTTATGCTCCTATTGTAAACTTGTAAACAATTGTAATTTTCATACTTGGAATATCCTACCTCTCCTTTGTTTTAGGATGTAGGGGTTTTCCAATTGTTTTCTGGGTGGAGTATCCCTTATACTCCCTTTAATAGATTCATTACTTATTAAAAAAAGCCCTAACCTAGAGAAACTTAGCTACTCATTGATAAATTAATAAATAAAATGAGTGAAGAAGTATTCATCATCAAAATATATAGATAATTTCTCTCCAATGACTCTAATATGCTCCAAAATCACTCCTTGAATGATCCTAGCTATCATTTTCTCTCTCAGATTCAATACTTTTAAAAAATTAGTCAAACAACCTTTAAAATAGCAAAAAATGTGTCAGCCAAAAAAGCATCACTGCACCGCGGCAGTCAGCATTACACTGCAATGTAAGCCTCATCGCACCACAATGTGATGCATCGTGAGTGCAAGAATTCCAGTGGAAAATCACACATTTTACTTCCGTTTTCTTCATGAATTTCACTAATTACCTATTTCTTCACAAACTTCACTAAGTGCCTATTTCTTCCTTGTTTTGGATTTTATCTTCTTTATTCTCAATTTAGCTTTTATCTTGGTTAGTATTCTTCAGAATTCATCTGAAATTTCTCATAAAAATCATGTAATGACGACTATCATCAGTCATTTTGGATCAACGTTGGTAGAGCAATTTTGAAAAGAAGCAAAAAATTTAGAACAACTATGAATGTAGTCTCTTCTGAGAGACTGTATGAAACATCCAATCTCGAGTTCAGCCTATATAGACAGATTAATACCCAAATCAAAATAAGTACGAGCAAAAGAAGTGGTTCGAGTAACGATTTCCCTCACCATCATCATCACTTTCCGAAGAGTTTAACCCTGATCTTGAACTACCGTTGGGCACACTCTGGGTATGGACTAGAGGATCCACTCCATAGAAAATGTCCACAAGGTTTGGATTCTCAAATCTAACATATAATGAAGACTCATCACTGTTAGGTTCAGGTGCTATGTTTGGGTACATTCTCTAAGATGTCCATAACATTACACACAAGGGAGGTAGATAAATACCTTGGGGAAAGAAGGAAAGCTCGAGAAAAGCAAAGACATAGAGGATCATGGTAGTCATTCACAGAAAGATGTTAAATGGTTAGAATCTTCGAAACTCGCAAATAGGGAACAAACTAAAATAGATTTCCCGTGGAAAGCGAAGTGAAAAGAACATTTGAAAGTTAATTCACCCATTCATAATGGAACATATAACAACCAACATTTCAAATTAGAAGAAAATGGGAAGATAAAGGGCGAAGATTCAATCGTTCCTTGGGAATACAAGAGAGCTCAAGTGCACTTGAATAACCTAAAGCAGAGCGTCACACCTTAACTTGCGACCCTAAGGCCATGTTCCAGGAAAGTCGGGGAAACAGCTGCATGATGGGAAATATATTTAATGAGCATGCTCCCCAATACATATGTAATTGTTTCATGATCTTCCCACTTCTTCGTATGATCCAATTTGGCGATGAGATGCCGACCATAACTTCTGAAAGACTTCTCGGTTTATAAACACCCAGTAAGCCTTGAGGGCAACAATTTGGGGAAGCCCAAAGGGCCGACACAGATAGGATTCAAGCATCCAACCCAATATTGCATAGGCCAAATAAAATTACTCATCATATATAATTGGCTCACGTGGGACTTATGGTACAATTTCTGATCTCATAATTGTACTTCACTTATCTTGGACTCTGTAACCGACTTGGGAGTTGGAGTGCTAACCTTTCACCCGCACATTGCCATATGGGAGATCAACATCACCGCATCAGAAGTCCATCATCACCCATCAATCACAATTCTGATTCTAGTATATATTAGTGCTAACCTACTCTTGTCCATGTGTGTTTTTACCTCAATTGATGTTTATTGTTCAGTCTTCTAATATAGTTATACTTCTAAAATTAGAGTCTTTGCCTTTCCTTTTTCCTTTTCTTCTAGTTTATATACTCCAAAGGACTAAGCCTTTCAACCTTTTTCTTTTTATTTTCCACTTACATGTTTCTCTCTTATCCACCCGTACACTCAAACATCTATTGGTCTGAATGTCGATCTTTCTCTTGGGTTGATCAAATAGATCATATGGACAAGTAACCAAAATTACACCCATAACAAACTGATTCATATATTTGAAGCCCCATACAATGAGTTACGTGTTTTCCAAAGATATTAAAATACATCTTAATAATGGAAAAATAACACGATACTAAAGATAATACGATATTTTATTGGTGACATATGGTAACTTAGATCATTAATAAAAATAGATAGAAAAAAAATGCTAAAGATACACCGCTTACAAACACCTTAGAAACACGTAGAGTTTTAGAAAGAAGTTACTCTTGCTAATATTTTATAAAATATTTAACTATGGGCCTCTATTTCGTTCAATGTTAAAGTACTACTTTATTCATTCAATGTTAATTATTTATTTAATTAAATATGAATTGACATAAATAATTATTAATTAATTATATTGTAGTCAATTGTTATTTAACACTAATTATTTATGAATTGATTAATTGAGTTTTATATTTAAATGAACTCTGATGAGTTAAACTGTTCAATTAAGTTCAATAAAAAGTTATCTTCTCAACCATTTAACTATTTAAATATTACCTTATTAAATAATTAATACATTAATATAAAATCTAGACGACAACCAGGATGATTAACCCTCTCATCTTATTCTCTTCAATTGTCACTAGAACTCTAAAAAGTACTCCATTCTTTTAGTTTTATACTTTATTATAATAATATATTATAATTTGTATCGATTAATTTAATTTAAATTCAATCACATTCTTCATCTTACAAATTGATTCTGAAAGATTGAGTTTATCACAAGAACAATTTTAAGATGATACTAAAGCATAATTCAAATTCCGTTCGAGTACATGCTATCAATTTTTTTTTATAATCATTTATCATTTATATTCACGCACCAAATCTAATAATACTAAAAAAAAATTGTTAGAAGTCTAATATCAAATGATAATATATGACTTAAAATGAATGTGTATAATTAAAGACAATCCACATTTAAATCGATTTTATATGATTGAATTAAGCGTAACCAAAATTCTTTTTTCATTAATTTAAAAAAGAAACTCTTAGGATAAGGAGTGAAAGCAACTATTTACTCAATCTTTTTCTTACTAAAGTGAAGATTTATTCTTGTTGTTTTTACTATGTTCTTTGTGAGTGCTAAATGTGAAGAGTGAGTGATGTAACAAAAGGGAAAGTCGTGGGAACAAGGCCAAGAAAGGAAAATCATGAAGAAATCCAAAAAAGCCCATATGCTTTTCTAGGTTAGTTTCTCACTTGGTCGAGCTTTGTGAAAAGAAGAAAGATATGTATTTGTTAATGTAAGATTCTAGTAGGTACATATAATAATAACTATCTTATATTTCAACTTTTTCATTTCCTTAATTCATGCACTTATTTTACAAACTAATTTCATTTTCTATTCAAGGTGGCAAATGTCAAAGAAAAATAAAGGTTTTTATATTACCAAATTATTCTTCTTGTTTTCTTTGCTTTCACAAGCATAGATTCTCCAATCTTATGTACTATTTTCTCTGCATTTTTTGCTTCGTTGCTTGTGGATTCTAGCTCACAAAGGGTTACAACTTTTCACTTTCTGTCAATTTTTAAGGACCTTTTTTAGCTAGTTTTATAACTAGGGTAGCTGATGCAGATTCATTCATGTTGTTGTTATTATTGTTTTATTCTTTCATTTGGGTATAAATAGATATTGCTAATGTTGGTTTTTCTTCATTCCAGAAGCTTAACATAAGCATTTACCTGTTTCAAGTTGAAAATATGAGTCATAGGAACTTCTCAGCTAGTTCTGGTTAGTTGGAATATGAACCAATGCCATTTCTATTAATTGGACTGCAAATTTGTTTTTTTTTGGTTTTGTTTGTATGTTACAAGGGTTTGAACCCGGGTCGTTTAACTAAATCGATTTACTATAATATTAACCTTTGAAGGAACTAAGTATTCTATGTTTCAGGTAGTGGAAATGCTGGCAGGACATTTGAGTTTGGAAGGACTCATGTGGTTAGACCTAAAGGCAAGCACCAGGCAACTATAGTTTGGCTACATGGTATTGGCGATAACGGCTCAAGGTATATTGTTAACTCAAATGTTTTATGTATGAGTACTGGCACAAACACGTTGACACCAATAATAATGTGAGATAATGAATTAATTGAATGTACACATGCGCTAATGTCGTGTTGTACAGAGTCGTCTCAAATATTTGGAGGCCCTGTGTATGTTAGCCGTAGTTTCACAATGGAAAAACAAATAGAGACCATATTTAACCACAATTTAGTTGTGATTTTATGAGGTCCTATTTAACCGCGGTTTAACTGAGACAAGTTTTGGACATGCGTGCTAGTCTGCTTTGCACAACCTCAAAGACAGTCATGCCGTAGTGTGTCGTGTCAGTGTTGAACACTAGACACACCATTGATCAGAAGCATAGTGCTTTATGCAATCATGGTTTAAAGATGGATACTATTTTTATTAGACTTTAGACTTGGAATACATTTGGAGATTTATTTGATGGAAATGTTTTATGAGCTGGTTGACAAATGCAATTAAAAGGTTATATTACAAAAACTGATTGTGCTCACAGCAATAGATTACCATGCATTTTCTCAATGTCTATGTTATTTGTGCATGGCTCTAAAGTCTGGAATTGGTGTTATTTGGAACATGAATATTTGAAAAAGTTTATTCCTTTATATTGTTAAACTTAGTTTGTATAGCTACCTACCTACCTTCTCTTTATGCTTGAGAGTATGCTTTTAGAGTAAGGGAATGTCAATATCTTTGTCCTCTTCTGTTAAAGTTTGTTTATTAATAAGTTTATTTTACATTCTAAACTGAATGTTTCCATTGATGGAATCATTGATTCTGATACTTGTGTATGCAAATAATAGAAATGGGACCACACCAAACAAGAACACCTATAGTCCCTATGCAAGTAATATACTCTTGATTTCCATAATTTTGAAACCATGCTGATTAGTGCATTTTTGAGTTATATAATACAAAACTTATGCTATTTATAAATATGTAGTGTGGTCCCAAACTAAGGTTAGGGTTTATAAGTTATTGTTTGTATTTTCTTAAACAAACCTTAAACTAGTTTAAGATTGACCTATGATGAGTAACATAGACTTTATTTTTGTCTTGCAGCTGGTCTCAACTATTGGAAACTCTTCCTCTTCCAAATGTAAGAACACATATAGATTTGACACAGGCGTTTGTTTTTCCAATAGATACTGCAAATCCGCAGCTGCATCGTATGCTATTATGCTAAGAAGATGCTATTTGTGATGTTGAAATTTGTGTTTCAGATTAAATGGATTTGTCCAACTGCTCCTACGCGGCCTGTAGCCTTATTTGGTGGATTTCCTTGCACTGCTTGTAAGGCTCATTTGTTGCTCTTTGGTTTAGAGCTATAGTACCGTCTCCATTTTGACAATAGTCTAATTTGATTGAGGTATCTCTACCAGGGTCTGATGTTGGGGATATTTCCGAAGATGCTTTGAATGATTTGGAGGGGTTAGATGCTTCTGCAGCACACGTTGCCAATCTTTTGTCAACAGAGCCTGCAAATAGTAGGTTTTCTATGATCCGTTGAGATGCATATTGTCATAAACTGTCAATAATCGTCTAATTTGATTGAGCTAATGCTTATGTACAGTCAAACTCGGTATTGGAGGTTTCAGTAATGGTGCTGCAACTGCACTTCACTCGGCTACATGTCATGTTTTGGGACACTATGGGAATGGAAACGTTTATCGTATCAACTTGAGCGCAATTGTTTCTTTAAGTGGCTGGCTTCCTTGTTCAAGGTTTGGTTTCTACTTTCTACCATTTCCTTTTCTTTAAGCTATATACTATTACTATATGTATAACTCAGATGGTGCTAATTGATACAGGACCTTGAAAAACAATATCGGTGGATCGCGCGATGGCATAAGACGTGCAGCGTCGTTGCCCTTATTTCTCGGCCATGGGAAGGGTATTTATAAGCCAATATCACTTTCCTTTGCAACTTGAAATTTAACGCGTTATAATCCGTTCCCTTATTAATTTCGGTATAAAAATGTGTTTGATTCACCTGTCCTCCTTGAATTCTTAGTTTGTATTGTACTAGTAGCCACATTAACCTGTGTGCATGTTTGGAGGTTGACAAAAGTGATTCTGAAAACGTAGAATTGATTTTGACATGTTTGGAGGTTCTTGATTATAATTAATTTTGCAATTAGAATTGATTAAAACTTGAAGTCATGATTTATAAATTTCATCTACAAACACCATTTCTACATGTAAATTTATCATTCAACTCACTTTCAGTGAATACATCCGAGCATACATCATTTAAACAAAAACAAATTCAATCAGAATCAAATTTCGCCGTCGTTGAACCATTTACACTCTTTGCTTGCTTCTGTTATTGTAAATTGTAATTCAAGCTTCAAAGTTGTAATGATACAGTCTTAAATCATACCATAATATTGAACCTATTTCATACCTGATAGTCGCAATGTATATACCTTGAATTGTTTTTGTAGCTGACGATGTGGTTGCATATGAACACGGAGAGAATTCTGCAAGGACCTTAAGCTCAGCTGGATTCCAGAATCTTATATTTAGAAGCTACAACGGGTATTCAACTTTTTTTCTTTCTTTTTTTTAAAATGCAAAAGATCATATTTCATATTTGTGGATGACATGAAGTTATTGTAATCTCTGTAGCACGGACATCTCTAAAAAAAAGATGTGTTTGTGTCAGTATTCGAAACCAACACCGATATTTGTGATTACGTTTAATTTATAGATGTTAACGTGTAATATAATACTGTTGTGTGCAGGTTGGGTCATTATACAGTTCCTGAAGAGACTGATGAAGTATGCAGATGGTTAACTGCAAATTTGGCACTTGAGGGATTAAGATTGAACTAGTGAAGTAAAGCTTTCAATCATCATGTTATAGATTATAGAACCATACTTCTAATATAATCAAGGGGTTATAGAATAGATAGTGATGTGGGGTATAATGGTAATATGGTATAATAGCCTCTTCATTCTCTCTTTCTTTTTCTATTATCTTGGCACTAAATAAAACTTTTTTTTTCCTTTAAGGGTTACTCGTTTTTATTGGTGTGTGGACATGGATAATTTCTTCATTTGGCAATTTTTCATCTAGCCATGGTTATGTATTGTTGCTTTCTTATTTCTTTTATGTCTTTGAGGCAAAATGTAATAAAGCCAAACGAGTTTCATTACATCATAAAATCATTTCCATGTAACCAAGGCTAGTAGATAGTTACTCAAATTAACTTAAAAACAATATTTGACTTATAGCATTTGAGATGCTCTTGTTGAGAATTGTAATTTACGGTGTCAAAGCATATTGTTGTCGAAACACAACGTCGAAATAGTGTACCTTGATAAGAATTGTTTGTCTTACCAGAATTAGGTATTTTGTAGTTTGCTTAGGGCGCAAACAAACTCTGTAGATAAATATGGAGTTACCCTATTGTTGTAAATAACATGTAGTTGCATAATTAATAAGTTTCAGTTTTGAGAAGAGAGAGAAACTCTATAAATATTTTTTTCTTCTTCCCATATTTTCGCTGAAACCCTAATTCTATTTCTTCCCCAATTCAAATTTCTTCTTTCATTATTGTTGTTGCGCATAATCATCTTGTAACTAATGTATGGTTGATTTACTCTAATGAAGAGTGAAGAATAAGAGGCGAATTCGATCGTGTGATTGAATCTTGTTCATCAAGATTAATTCGGAATTCTCCATAGGTTTTGGGTTAATTCTAACATCTGGTATCTAGAACACTGACTGTGTGATTCTTAGGAAGCATAGTGTGATGAATCATCCAAACATGCATTTTCCATTAGTCTTTCGATTCTGAAAGTTGACAACTATGAGAATTGGTGTAAGCAGATGAATATTGTTTTTTGTTATCAAGATCTTTGAGATCTTGTGAAGGAAGGAGTAATGCCACTTGCAGAAGACGCGACAGATGAACAAGAGGCTGCACACAAATAATTGAAGAAGAAGAATTATAAAGCTCTCTTTATAATTCATCAATGTGTTAGTTCAGATAATTTCAAAAAGCTTAGTGATGTTGAATCCGCGAAAAAAATATGACAAATTCTGGAAAAATTGTTTAGAGGCGCTGAAAAGGTGAAAGAGGCGAGATTACAAACTCACAAAAGAATGTATGAACTACTTCAAATGAAATAAATTGAAAGCATAACTAATTTCTTCAATAGGGTTATGAAAATGGTGAATCAAATCAAGGTACGGGGAGAAGTCTTGACATCAAGATCAGTTGTCGCAAAGATCTTGAGATCATTGACTCCAAAGTTCGACCATGTGGTAGTAGCCATAGAAGAGTCAAAAGATTTGTCAACATTGACAAAGGAAAAAGTTCAAGGGACGCTTGAATCTCATGAACAAAATGGCTGAAAGAGCTGCAGACAAGTCGAAGAGTGACGTGACTCTATAAGCGCAATCAGCAAGAGAGAAAAAAAGACAAAAGAAAATAGTTCAACAACAAAGGCAGAGGAGGCTACAACAATTAGACTGATAGAGGAAACCAACAAGAAGAAAATTCTTTGAATCAAAGAAGACCCTCGTATCAAAGAAAACAAAGAGGTGGTGTTGCAAGTAGAGGAAGAGGCGGTGGTCGAAAACCTAATAAAAGGCACATCCAGTATTTCAATTGTCAGAACTATGACCAGTACTATAGTGATTGTCCTGAAAAACAGAAGAATCAAGAAAATGATGCAAAGTTTACAAATCATGATGAAGAAGAGACGTTGAGGATGGTCACAACAAGAGATGAAGAAAGATTCAAGGATCAATGTGTTTCCAGTGATTTCTGGTAAACAACCGCTAGTCTTCCAAACTATCGAATAATCTTTCTGACTGTTATTCAATTCCTCTGGTAATTCACAGGATCGACTAGATTGATCCTAGGATTCCTTGGTCATTAGAGTAACTCTCATGATCGAACAGATATTCATGGTTAATATTTGAGTGTTGTATATGTGTTTGGCTTATTTCGATTCCTCTCTTAAAGGTCTAAAGATGTAATCAAAATGTGCGTGTACGAAACTAAGTTGCATGAATAAATGTTAATTGTAAAGACATGTAAAATTGCATAAAAGGCAAGCAAATGGTTTCGAATTATAAAAACAGTTAATGTAAAGGATTTTTGGAACGTAAAAGGTTTGAAATATGAAGAAAGCGTTTAATGCAAGAAATCTGTAAATGACTTTAAGTAAAAATAGGCGTTCGAAGGATAAAGCTTGAAGGTAAAGGCATGGAAAATATGACAGTTTTCTGAAATGTAAAGTGCTTGAAATGTGAAGAAAGCATTGAAATGTAAAACTTTAATGAAGAGATTTCGAAGTTAAAAGACTGTAAATGGGAAAACTTATAAATGTTATTTGACAGAACGATAAAGGAAAGTGCTGGAAATGGTAAAAGGTTTTCATTAAATCATAAATATATGGTGCTATCATACGTACATTGCTCTTGCATTCGTTTCTCTTGCCATGTGGTAGTTTGAATGTTACTGAGTATTTAGTACAATAGATATGACACACGAAATCCTAATACTAAGACTTCTATTTATACTAATTCGACCATAACGGTCTTGCTATAGGATTATGCCACGTTCAGAACATGCAGAACAATGCCTCTTTCTTCTTTCCACGTGTCTCCAAATGCTCCAGCACATAAATTTCAAACTTCGAATGTCCCGCTTCCATTTGAATTTCAAATGCTTTGGTATTTCTCCGTTTCGAACGCACTTCCCAGACACAACTTTGTTGTTATTTCGAGACTTCTTTAGATATGTTCCCATAATTGCCACTCGAAGCTCCAGCTTTGACACGCTTATTCGAAATACTGCTTCTGCTACTTCGAAACATGACGCTTTACTTCATTTCGATCGAAACGTTTAATTCATTTGGCTTCTAATAATATTATCAAAATCTTCAGCCAACAAATTGCCCCTTTAAAATATGTATTTCGATTTCTCTGAGAAATACCTATTTTAAACATCTACACAAGATTTTGATGTGACTTTCGAATCATCGTAATATTTAATGCATTTGACTCCAGTCACGTCAATCATAGCGCTTTTTGGATTCCTTAACCGCCTGGAGCCACTTCACAGTATGGTGCAGTTACAAATAATGATTATCTTTAAATCACGCCTATTACCCATGTTAACTTTACGCCACCTCTTCATCACACCAACCCATGATTTCCACGTATCACACCCTTATTCAGTGGATACTTAAACTTCCCCATTATAAAACATCACCAACTTAATCTTTTCTTTTCTTTTCACACTCTGAATCTTTTACCCTCCTTCTCTCGTCAAAAAAAACCCAAGCTTTCAACATCCTTCAAAAATGTCTTCTTCTACTTCATCCCAACTCAAGAAAGTCTCCAAGAAGAAAGGAAAAACTGCAGGAACTACCATGGAAAGTAAGATTATCACTCACCAAGGTCAATCTGTTCTTGCCCCTCAGATGATTTCAAAGGAAAAAGAAATGCTGTATGCGTCACAGGTACTCATTCCTACCACCGTTGCTGGTAAGAGGTTAGCTTTAAATGGCCCTCTTACGGTTTTTGAAATATTAAAAGACACCAGGACGATTTTCCCAGTTTGTTATAGTTTTAAACCCTTGTTTAACAAAATGGACGCCCCTAAGGCAATAGAATCTTCTAGTTCAAATACCATAGAAAACCCAACTGTTCCTCCTAAGGACCCCTTTGTATTGGATTATGTAAAAAGTAATTTTAAGCCATTTCGATCTTGCCCCACCTCTGATATTGCTTATCAAAATTGGTTCAAGAAAGTAGAAGCTAAGAAATCCCAGCAATGGGAAGAATTAGGTATCTATAACCTGATTAAGCTATCGAAGCCTGGTTTCACCTACAACCACCCTCTGCTATTCGCGTCCCTCTATTTCTGGGACAATACCTATAACACTTTCCATCTCCCAGGTGGAATGATCACCCCAACCTTCTTCGACATAGCGGCCATCACTGGGCTATCACCAGTAGGAGAAACTTATATCCCCGACAACGAAGAACATTCAAGCATAATTGACTTCAAAGTCAAGCTAGCAAGTTTTTCCAAGTTTATCAGTCATTACCATGCTGAGGGGGACAATGTGTCTGACGTAGAACACATTGCTTTCTTAACCCTGTGGCTGTCAAGATACGTTTTCTGCAGTAGATCCCTACAGGTAGCTAGTAGGTTCATTCCTCTAGCTAGGGACTTGCATGAAAATCGAAAAGTGTGCCTAAGTGAACTGCTCTTAGTTGACCTTTATGAAAGCCTGAGGTCAGCTGTTTCGAGCCTCAAATCCCATACCTCCAAGAATATTCTGTTGGCTGGCCCTTTTTGGTTACTTCAACTATGGCTAAATGCCATGTTCGAACCCTCCTTGTCAACCGCCAACACCATTGATGAACAAGATCCTGAGATAAATGATAGGATAGTCGAAGGCACTAGGCTTCGAAGATTAACTCCAAATGACGACAAAGATGACTTCAAAGTCCAATTCTCGAAGTACATCATGATATTCTCCAAAAGGCACAAGTTCGAAGAGAGCATGGCGCCTTTTGCTTCGAGGGCTCATGGACCTTCTTGGTTCACCATGGCTCTCTCAGAAGCTATCAAGAGCAAGGAGATTCATGATGTATGGAGAGCTTTTTTGCTACCTAGACTCATTTCTTCAAGAATAACTCCAGCCAAGAACCAGATTTTTCTTTTTTCTTACCAACCAAATTTTGTTTCGAGACAGTTTGGCTTATGCCAACTGATTCCTGAACCTTTATTTCAAACTGAGAGTGCCATCACTTCTGGACGAACTTTCAAGGCACGGGAAGCCAAAATACAGCAAGAACAATA